AAGTCTTCAATGACTTCCACATCCAGTAAAACGTGTCTCTGAGGTTTTATTGTTCACAAAGCTGCTCCAGTTTTTGCCAACCATCCACTCTGAAGTCAATCTCTTTGACTTCAGTTCTGCCGTCTGATACTTCTGCAAGTGAACTGTTCTGGGGGATGCACCTCATTGCTGTATTGGCAATGTCATTTCAGCTTTTTCATCCTCCTGAGTGACTAGAGAAAGTCCAGCCAGCCCCTGCAGCATCTTCACAAGCCATTCATGTGTTGAGTGGAGTCTCATTTAACCACCAAACTATTATCATGTCTTTCTCCACTCAGATCTATTGTATATTGACCAGTGCTTAGTAGGTTTACTCTGTGGATAATTTTTTATTTTGAAGGTGGGGAACTTCTGTTCTCACATGCATGTGCAGAATATTGAATTTGATGTCTTGGTCGTACACTTCAGCTAAAATCAGAATTTTATTCTGTCTAGACAAGATTAAGAAGATGTATAGCCTTTTGCTTGTTGCTGTGCTGACGTGGCTGATGGCTTGAATAATTTAAGCCAATCATACAGTCGGTTTCTGGCCGTAGCATGTATCTGTGAAGAGCTGACCCCGAGTGCAGTGCAGTTTCATGCAGATGAGTGTGTTTGTAAGTGCAGGATGGGGGACGCATCTCTGCCCTGTACATAACTCAGTTTCAGTACCAGCTGCGGCCACCCTGAGCTGGTTCCCGGCAGGATTAGTTTTTGAGGTGGACCCTGAAGGACAGGGTGGGATTAATACTCAGGGAATCACTTTGGGAGTGTGAATGTCAGTGCTGCTGGGCCATGGAAGAGTTTGAAGCATGGTGTCCGTTATCAGAGGTGTTTTCAGAAGATCCTTAGGGAGTAGTGTTTGGGAACGGTTGGTTTTGATGGGGGATGTTGGAGAAGGGACCAGTGAAAACACTGCGTCAGTATCACACATGATTGCCGGTCAGTAAACTTGTGAAATTGGGTCTGGTCTTTTCCCACCCTTCCTTCCTTTCCTTCCTTTCCTTCCTTTCCTTCCTTTCCTTCCTTCCTTTTTTTTGACAGGGTCTTGCTCTATTGCCTAGTCTGGAGTGCAGTGGTGCAATCTCAGCTCACTGCAACTTCCGCCTCCCGGGTTCAAGCGATTCTCATACCTCAGCATTCCACGTAACTAGGACTACAGGCGTGTGCCATCAAGCGCGGCTAATTTTTATATTTTTAGTAGAGATGGGGTTTCGCCATGTTGGCCAGGCTGGTCTTGAACTCCTGACCTCAAGTGATCTGCCCACTTCAGCCTCCCGGAGTGCTGTGATTACAGGCATGAGCCACCACGCCTGGCCCAACTGGGTCATTTCTTGAGGAATAGTGAAGTGTGGCAAATTAGGCCCAGATTGTTATCTCATTGACCATGGAATAGGTGGTATGGGAGGAGGAAGCAGAGATGCTGTGGTTAAGCCTACAGCAGAATCTTCAGGCCAGCATCTGTCTGCCCTCTCTGCCATGCCAGACATGGGCTTGTGCAGGGAGAACCAGCAGTGCCCACTCCTAAGTCGGCTCTCAGTAAGGCTGGTGGGTGGATAGTGAGGGAGCAGAAGAACAGACAGCATCTTCTGCTTGCTGGGTCTTTGAGAGAAATACTGACTTTTTTCTTTTCCTATACAGAAGTATCTTTCTTTTCCTGCATGGAAGAAGGTTTTCATTTTCAGTTTTTGTTCTTTTGAAGTGACATTGCAGTCAAATGTGAAGTGACAGACAAAAATTTTAAGGACTCAAAGGATGTTGACAAATTTTAGAGTAGTAGATGACTTATTTAAGTGTTGTTTTCTCTGTCTCGAACATGTTCCATGCTCATTTCAGTTGCTTCAGAGTTGCCAGTGTTTGCAGAATACCCGTGTAATAGCCATTTATACAAGGTGGTTTATTTTTCTCATGCAAAATCCTCATAAGTTTTCTTGTGAGTTTGCGAGGGCTGCTGGAACAAAGTACCACAAACACAGTGACTGAAAACAATGGAAATTGAGCCTCTCATGATTCTGGAGGCTGGAGGTCTGAAATCACAGCGTCAGCAGTGCCAGGCTCCTTCTGAAGCCTGCAGGGGAGAATCCTTCTTTGCTGCTTTGAGCTTCCAGTGGTTGCTGGCAGTCCTTGGATTGCAGCTGCATCCGTCTCGTCTGTGTCCTAATCACTTGATTGTTTTCTGCCCTTGTGTCTCTCTCTGTCTCTCTCTTCTTGTCTTAGAAAGATACTGATCATGTGAGATTTAGGGTCCTCCCTTTTCCAGTATGACTTCGTCTTCACTAATTAGATCTGTAACACTCCTATTTCCAAATACAGTCAACTTTTGAGGTCCTGAGGTTATGACTTTATCTTTATTGGGGGTGTCTTAGTCTGTTTATGATGGGTAAACATAAATTACAGCTTGGGTAATTTATGAAAAACAGAAATTCTCACCACTCTGGAGGCTGGGAAGTCCAAGATCAAGGCACCGGCAGGTTCAGTTTTCTAGTGACCTGCTCTCTGCTTGTAGATGGTGCCTTGATGCTCCATATTCCAGATGAGAGGAATGCTGTGTCCTTAAAGGGCAGAAGGTGGAAGGGCTTAGAGGGCTGCTTACTGCCCAAAGCCTCCTTTACAGGGTCCTTAATGCCATTTATGAGGGAGGAGCTTTCATGGCCTAAATACCTCTTAAAACCATCACATTGGCCATTGAGTTTCACCACCTGGATTTTGGAGGGGAAGTTGTCCAGGCAGCTTCCAAGGACTGGACATTGGGGTATAGGAAGTTTCCTGGACGTTGTCATTTTCTGTTGGGCTGAACTTAAGTCATGCGACTACATCTAACTGTGTTAGGGGCTGGAGAGAGTGGTCCTTGTTCAAGGCTGCTGTGCATTGGCTAAAAATTGGGAGTTTTGTTAATCACAGAAAATGAGAGCAGATTTTGAGGAGAGCTGACAGCTTTTGCCACATCTACAAAATTTTGGATGGGGTGGGGGTGATCTAGGTTGTTTATTCTGTTTCTAAGCCACTGTAGCTTCTCTCATTGAGTTATACCTACCATTTGAGGAGCAAAAGGGAGTTTTCCTACATATAATTATGTTAGGTTTGTTATGGTTAGCAGGACTTTGTTTTATTCAGTTAAATTGCATTGTGTAGTTGCTAACTAGTATGGAAAATAGCAATAAGCGAGAGATTGGGCTATTCCTGCTGTCTAGGAGGAGGCATTGACTAAGGAAAAAGATAAATGTAGGTGGAGCACGGTGGCTCACTCCTGTAATCCCAGCACTTTGGGAGGCCAAGGTAGGTAGATTGCTTGAAGCCAGGAGTTGGAGATCAGCCTGGCCAACATGGTGAAACCCCATCTTTAGTATAAATACAAAAATTAGCCAGGTATGGTGGCAGATGCCTATAATCCCAGCTACTCGGGAGGCTGAGGTAGGAGAATCACTTGAACCCGAGAGGCAGAGGCTGCAGTGAACCGAGATTGTGCCACTGCACTCCAGCCTGGGCGACAGAGAGAGACACTGTCTCAAAATATATATATATATATAAAATATATATCATATATATATTATTATATGTAACAATAAGTTATTGTGAAAAGAAGCTTATAAAACATGTTTTAAGAGATAGAAGCCTTTTTTTTTTTTTTGGTAAAGAACACTGACTTAATGATAGTGAATAAGTTGTATGTCAATTTGACATGCACGAGGGAGTTTGAGAAAGGCCATTTGAATCTAAGTGACCAGCCAGAGCCAGAGCTGCCTTCAGAGGCTCTGCCCTGTGTTTGCTGCCTGCCCTTCCGGGCTAACTCGCTTTCTGAAGGCTGGGAATGGCCTTGACTTTCATGTTGCCAGCATCTAGCATGGGGCTTGGCACACGATGAGGGTTCATGAAATATTCATCAGATCATTTCCAACCAACTCCCGTGTTCACCATTAGTAACACAAAAGTGCAATAGTAGAAATACGCAGGCTGTAAATGCACTCAACCTCAGAGCAGTATTTTCAGTTTATTTAGGAACCAGTGTACTTGTTGAAAAAAATTAGATAGCTCCTAAAATTACAAAGATAGTTCATGGCCATTAACTCTTTATATGTTTATTTATTAAATAAATATCATATGCTGATATGAACCGATACTTTAATTAGAGTTGGTAAAATGATCTGTAGGCTGTATGAAGTTTTATGTTGCAAATTCCGTGGAAGTAGTGACTTTTGTCTGTGCTTTTGTTTCTGTAATTTAAACAATCTGTGTTTTTCCCATTTTCTTTAGAACTTTTTGCTACTTGATGAGATATCACAGCGTAACCGTCAGCCGCCGTCAGATGGTAAAAAGATGGTGCATGTGCAGGACTTTACTGCTTTTTGGGATAAGGTAACATATCCTTAATTGCAAGATCATGACTGCTAATAGATAATGAGTGACATTGATTTAATACAGAATTTTGAGTGTGTTACACATGGTATAAAATATGGCGTGCTCATTTACTGAAAGTATGTTACAAAGATTCTCAAAATTAGGAGTAAGTTTTGCAATTAATAGAAAGTAGGTATGAAATCAGACTTAGGTATTTGACAACTTGTATTTTATCTCATTTTCAAAAAACCAATGAAAGTGTTACCTCATTCTAAACTAAATGTCAGTGTTTGGACATTGGCAACATTGGATTTTATAGGATTGGACAGACTAGGGGTGCAGCATGGAATGGGTTAACTGCTGAGTACATTGTAAATTATTTCAGAGACTTTGAGGTATCAGTGCACATTTTCACCTTACTGTTTTCAGGTCATCTTATTACATATTGAGAAAGCCCATGACTTGGATTTTTGCCATGGGGTTGGGTTGGGGCTCCCCTATTTCAAGCACCTGGATGTTGCCAGCTGCTTTGGTGGCAGCCCAAGGCAGAGGGGAGGCTGCAGGCTGGCGGAGCAAGCTCCATGGATTCCTGACTGAAGGGTTTCACTGTGTGGTAAGCGGACAGGTAGTTCAGGCAAGGCCACAAGGATTTTTCAGCACTTGGTTTACTCATAACATTTAGGCAAACGGGAACAACAGCAGGGGCCACCCACAGGAAGTACTTAGGCTCGGTGCATCTCCTGTTACCCACAACTCCAGGGCCCTCCTTATGCTTCCAAGGAAGCAGTGGGCTCCCTGCCCAATGCTCATAGCAGCCACTACTATGGCACCAGCTTTTCATGAAAAGAAAGGCTGCATTGTAAGTTGAATGGCAAGGAGACAGGAGGCAACGCGCAAATTTGTCTTCCCTAGCTGGGGGATGGGGCAGGTTTTACAGGCAGAGGGTAATGAGGCGCGGTCCGATTGGTTCTTGCAATGAAGTGATGCCAGGGCTGGATCTGATCGCATCCTGGATCAGGCCATGAGGTGTCCGCTCTGAACTCGTTCCTCCTTCCTTGGTTCTAGCACTTGGGTTCTGCCCATGGTTGTGTGCTTGGTTCATCTGGAAATGCTCAGATTACATAACTTGCAACCTGGGATCCATGGCAACTGAAAAACAGTTTACTATGTTATTACGCAGAGTTGAACCAGATTGGACTGGTTCTGTGGTTATGCTCACCTGAGTCCAGGGTCCTCTGCAAATCCACTTGTCTCAGTCTGTGTTAGTCTGGAAAACAGAACATACAGCATGGGAGAGGGAATTTCGTGCAGAGAATTCATTACATAGGTGATGAAAGAAAGAGCACAAAGGGAAAGCAGGGGTGGAAGAGGCCACCCTGAGACCAGCTATGGCAGGAAGCTGCACCCTGGGGCTGGAGATGATGTCTGCCAGGAGCAGAGCCCAGTGGCCCGGCTGCCAGCAAGATTTCGGATCAGAGGGCAAGGGTCTCTTCTGAGGGCGCTGGGACTGCTCGGACTGCTTAAAACAGGTGGGCAGTGCTGGTGGTGACCAGCTCCTCCCCTCTCCCGGTGCTCTTTGTGGCTGACCTTGAGTTGTAGTGTAGTTTGCTGGAGCCGAGAGCCAATAGGCGGTTGAGCAGCACTCCCGCCCAGCCCCACTGTCTCCGCCCTCTCCCGTGGGACAAATGTCAAAACTCTAGACTCCAGACTCTTCCTTTCTCTACATGCCCTTGGCTCTAAGTATCACACTCCCTGTTTCATGTTTGCCTAATTCTGATGTAATTTTTGCCATCTCGACCGACAGAACAATAATGTGTTCCCAAATATATAGAACATCATTGCACCTTGTGCACATGGAAACTCACACAAGGTACGTCACCTGACCGGACAATTTCTCCTTACCTGCTGGCATTCCCACCTTATACACTTTATTTATTTATTTATTTATTTATTTTGGAGATGGAGTCTTGCTCTTTTGCCCAGGCTTTAGTGCAGTGGTGTGATTTTGGCTCACTGCAACCTCCGTCTCCCAGGTGCAAGTGATTCTCTTGCCTCAACCTCCTGAGTAGCTGGGATTACAGGAACACCGCACCACGCCTGGCTAATTTTTGTATTTTTAGTAGAGACGGGGTTTCTGCCACGTTGTCCAGGTTGGTCTTGAATTTCTGGCCTCAAGTGATCTGCCCACCTTGGCCTCCTGAAGTGCTGGGATTACAGGTGTGAGCCACTGCGCCCAGCTCTAATACACTTTAAGCATTGATAGAAAAGCTCTGTGAACATCCACTAGCAAAAAGCACTCTAGGTGAATGCTGTTGAGCTAGAGGAAGGCACTGCGGTAGCCACCACACACTGTGTAGGTCCCATTTGCAAATTTTTTTTGTACCAAACTCTGCAACATTGTAAAATGGGCTGTTTTGTTGTTTTTCAGTTCCTAGACAACGTTGACAGCTGCATTGAAACAGAACACCCTGTTTTCTGGGCCTTGTCTTGGGGTGATTATGCCCCACGCTGCCAGGGATTATTAGGGAGGTCATGCAGCTGAGAGGGTGCTTGGGTGGGAGGAGGGGCACAGACACTGGGGCTTTTGGAGAGAAGCTGCAGAGGAAAGAAGGGTGTGCTGGGCTGGGATTCGGGAGAAAGACAGAGGCCCCAGCAGCAGCCCTGCTGGATAGACTAGTGGGTATTGGGGGAAAGGTCTTCTCACCAGCCTAGGGTCTCATTTAGAAAACAAACGGGCTTGTGCTGAATCTCTAAGCTGTAAAGTCTGTGGCCCTGTGGGAGCCTGTGACTCTCCATGGGGCAGGGATTTGCTTCTGCTTTCTTCACTGCTCTGGCCCCAGGGCCCAGCATGGGGTCGGCCCCAGAGTGGGGGCTCAGTCTGCCTGCCTTAGTGTCCTGGAGCCTGGAGGTCTCAGAGGGAAGGGGCCTTGCCTTCTGAGCTGTCGAGTGCTGCCCCCTTCTGGCTGCGGCGCACCAGTGCGGGGGTCCCAGGCCTCCAGGTGGGGCAGAAACCTGCTCTAAGAACCAGGGCCCTGATGGGAAGCTGGGTTTTGCATGTGGCTCACTATTTTGCAGTCAAAACTGAGTAAAAAGAAGTAAAATCAGAAATAGTTGTTAGGAAAGAGACACTGCAAAGGAGGGGAAAGGGACAGGTTGACCAGTTGTGTTTTTTCATCCTTTTGTAATCACAGAAGTAAGTGGGTTTCAGTTGTCTTAAAAGACAATGTTACTTAATCAGGAATACAGAGTAGACCCTTTACATTTTAGAGGAGGAACACCTTATATTATAAGGCTAAGTCAAGCAAGACTTTGTGAATTTGTGACAAGTTTCCACTTACAAAATCGTGTAAATAGGTCACATTTTGTTTAACGTTATTTTTTCCAAGTGTTTAGGTAATAATGTATTACTTTTTTAAAAAAGACATAGTTGATAGGCATGTAGGAAGGAGTGGAGAAACCTCTTCTGGATGGTTTTTATATAATTCCTATGATATCTGGGGCTAGTTTCTTTGTGATTAAAAGTGATCATGATTGATTTGGTCTGTGGCCATACTATAATATGGTATGGGACACATTTATAAGGGGTCAGATTACATACACACATATTTTGGCATTTGACCATTTATAAAAATATTTGTGATTCTTTGGGTATGTGACTGTTAAGTCGTTTCCAGATAAATTTTTCATTTTGAAGGTTATCTTGATCTCTTGTTCCTCCGCGGTGCTTTCTGTCTTTTGGGCATTTTACTAATCGCACGTGCCCACCTGAGATGTGGAGAGGGGTTGATGAGTACCCGTTTGTGGACTGGGCCAGCTCAGCATCTTTAGGTTGCGGGTTGGTTGACTTCATGCGTGCTTCCCTCTTCCATCATCCCAGGGGTGTTCCACCCTTCAGGGATGCCCGATTCATTTTGAGGAATCCTTTTCTAGAGTTGAGGAGGCTGCATTGCCTTTGATTCACTCTTGATCATTTTTCTAGGATATGGATGAGCATTTACCAAAGTGTGTTGTGCGGAAGAATAACCCTTTCTGAAAGGATTTGGGACTCGAATAAATTTGCTAAATGCCCACCCACCAGACACACATGGTCAGGTCTCTCCAGTCTATCCACGAGAAATTCAGATGAAGACTGTAAATGTGCGACTTAAACCCCTTTAGGATTCCTCCCAAATTGTAGCTGCTTTTACTTCACTTAACAGTATCAATTTTTGTTTGCTAGTGTTGATGTCTGGGTTTGGATAAAAGTTCTCATCGTTGGCAGTTTTTACGGTTGAGGTTCTATACTCTGAATTTAAAACCATTCCTCTCTTTATTTGTACCAAGTGACTTTTGCTTTTTTAAAAGATAGACAATTCAAAGTATTGATTGTCCTTGTATGACAAGAGGAAACCTCCTCATTTTGGTTTGTCATGCTCTGGTAAACTGTCCCTTCTCCCTGATACGCACTTAATCCTCTCGATTGAAAATATTTAGAAGCTCTTTGTAAAAGTAATGAATTTGGTTTGGTCTCCTAAATAATAAACTGTAAAAGAACTTTTTTTTTTTTTTTTTTTTTTTTTTTGAGATAAGGTCTCACTGTGTCACCCAGGCTAGAATGCAGTGGTGCAATCTTGGCTCACTGCAGCCTCAATTTCCTGTGCTCAAGGAATCCTCCTACCCATGAACATATACTTAATTTCATTATTCTTCAGTTTTTGGTTGTTGTTAAATTAGAGCTCTGGTTACAGGGTTGACCACCATTTGTAGAAGTTCATTTGCCAAGAGTGACTTTATAGTATAAAGTGCCTTCTTGCTGGCTGGGCGTAACTGAGGTTCGTGCTTTATCAAGTGAAAATGGAGAGATTAGTGGAGATTTCACATCATCTATTAGCCAAGGACTGGGCATGCCGTGTACTCATGCTGCCACCTTGTGGAGGTTAATGAAATAGAATATTAAAACCAAGGGACAGAAGGAAAACTTACAAATGATTGAAAAGCTCCCGTACTGAATATTATATTAAGAATATTGTTTTAAATGAGAACACATGGACACAGGGAGGGGAACATTACATATTGGGGCCTGTCAGTGGGTGGGGGGCAAGGGGAGGGAGAGCATTAGGACAAACACCTGATGCATGCAGGGCTTAAAACCTAGATGACAGGTTGACAGGTGCAGCAAACCACCATGGCACATGTATACCTATGTAACAAACCTGCAGGTTCTGCACATGTATCCCAGAACTTAAAGTAAAAAAAAAAATAAGAAAGAATATTGTTTTAATAAGTTAGCATGAGTTTTCATGTCAAGAAGGTTGCCTTGTCATTGTTACTGTCGAAATTTTGTGGACGTGTGCAGCTGTGTTCACATGAAAATCGGGTAAAAGAGAATGGGCCTTCCTTAAGTACTGAAGACTCCAAACTGTTTAAAACCCCACGAAAAAAAAGGTGATTGTATGAAAAGGACTCTAGGTTACAATATATTAAAATAGGAAGGAGAAAGATTTGGGTTATGTTCGTGTATCAGTGACTATTGTATTGTTTTCTTCTCTTTTTGAAGTGATTTGTGTGACTTGATTGAAATGGGCACATTTTATAAACTTTAATTTGTAGGCATCAGAGACCCCAACTCTACAAGGCCTTTCCTTTACTGTCAGACCTGGTGAATTGTTAGCTGTGGTCGGCCCCGTGGGAGCAGGGAAGGTGAGTTAGAATGGCTTTTGGCAGCTTGACGCACCTCACTTCTCATATTAACTTCTTGGGTTTGAGCCCAAGGCTACATGTAACACATTTTTGAATTGGGTATGCTTGGCACGGCATTTCTCAGTACATGGAACATTTGTTTTGCAAGAAGGGTCACATGACCAAGTAAATGTGGGCAGTGCATATCCTGTTTCTCTTGGTTCTTCAAGTTGCTTAATTGGGAACTCCTAGAAGTTGGACATCTCCATGAAGGAAATTATTGATGTGATCACAATGCAGGATGGATTGACTAAGAAAGTGGGAACTTCTTTTTGTCAGAGTGAACCCTAGATGCTACAAGACATGTGGAGGTTGTGAAGGCTTGTCTGAAAAGCTTTAAACATGTTTTGATATGACTTCTCCAAGTCACATGAGCATACATTTAATAAACCTGTAGCCAGGTGTTCAGTCCTGTGTTAGGAGTAAAAGATACACCTGTAATCAAGACCCAGACACCACTGCCCTCCAGAAGTTTCTGGTATCTGGGGTGAGACAGATATACAAACAGATCATTTCAGTTCAATGTCGTAAGTGTTCCGATAGTGGGGGGCGCAGACATGTCACGTCTGTGCATTGTAGAAGATGTGAAGGAAACATGCATACAGAATTAGTATCATGCATTCTAAAGCAACGCCATAAATCTAGATGTAGGTATATAACCAATAGGGCAGTTTCACAATTGAAGTTTGCTCTCCAGAGACATGATTCTTGGGTAGTTAAAAATAAAAGTCCTTCCTAGTGCACAGGATATATTGTTTATTTTTATTTATTCATTCATTTATTCATGTATGTATGTAGGTTTAGTTTTTGAGACAGGGTCTCGCTCTGTCGCCCAGGCTGAAGTGCAGTGGCGCGATCTAGAC